CGTAGACATAACCAACTTCTATGGAAACACATAAAAAACAAATGTAAATAGACCAAAACATCAATCAATAATGTTATAATCCCATTGGCAAAATTCACATCTTACATGTTTCTGGCAGGATTTAACCACTCTGTTCTTTAAAGACACCCCATGGGGCAGTGTCCATTCCAACAAACGGTCATCGCGAGGATATTAATAACACCCCAAAATGCATGAGAGTGGTCGTTTATTTGCATCAGATATTGTTTTCACTATACATGTATTAAACCGAACCGATTGAAGAAATATGAAAAAAGATCTAGATTATCTAAGAGATTCGCTTATAATAGTTGTAAAATTTGAGAATAATTGACAAAGTGAAAATTACTTGTTCTATATGGGGGATCGTCCCATGTATTATTGCCACATTTTAAGCTCCAGTATGGTTTGTCCTTTTCAGGCCAGTTCCATGGTCTCTTTTCATTGGTTCCAAAATTAGCTGGTTCATTCATATCCTATAATATCGATAATTTCTTAAAACAATAACAACTATATTTTGCAACTAGCAATCATTAAATTTTGAGGACAATTCTTATGATATTTATCAATGATATTTGATTTAACTATTTGTGTTAAAGAACGGCAGCGTTATAATTCATCTGCTGAAATTTAGATCGGGGACGTGATTTATCCCATAACAACTGGTCTTGGACAGACGGCTTGACATGCTCTATAAGTAATAAAATAAGGGTATATCTATTTTTAAACTTACAATCCACAGACCATCAAAAACCAACTGTTCTTTATGGTGTTTCTTTATCAATTCTTTCCAAACATCTCCAGTTTCTTTCTTCATGAAGTCCGGAAAAACAACTTTACCTTTCGGCCAGACCTGGAAAAGCATTTGACTCGTCTTGATCAGTGATAATAAAAACAATATGGTCGTTATGGAGAACTATTTGAGACATACAAGAAATCTGCTTCTTGCATTTTGGATTATATGTTAGGTTAGGCATGAATTGATCTGGTTGTATCTCATGATTTGGACCATTATAGCAGTGGAGGGATACGATAGCGAGGCTAACACGCTTACTCTTTTCGAGACACCTCCTCTCTTTGGATGAGTCAAACTTTTACTCCCAATTGGGCCACTCTTAGGACGAGACTTTTAATTGAAGGAATTGTATTACTTGAACTGATTTTTATTGTAATAGTGACTTTCCTCTGAGAACTAAACAGAACACAATCATTGTCATGATCACTTAAACATGTTTAATTTTGCAGTGTTATATCAAAGACACGCAAGATCTCGAGATTTAATTTTAATTCTGATATCAACATATTATTTACGAGTCGTCACAAGGCAATGAATTAGAATCCTTGATAAGGACTCAATGAGTACCAAGAAAATGCAGTCTTAGATTTGTGAACGTACATATCCCAAAACAGCACCATTTTCATCTCTATCACTATCTGGTATTTCCAGATCAGCCGGCCATTTAATATTACCATTGATAGCTTTCATCTTTTCATAGGGTTCATAACCAGTTACATTGGATATCAAGGTAGGGTCCTGAAGAGGTAATAGCACACAAATATTACTCGTAACAGAGCTGTAAATTACTTAAAGTTATGAAGGAGGCAGTAGTTTGGGCGGTATGGGGTTATTGAAGATGAAGAGTCAGCTGCCCTGTGGCAACATTCTCATTAAACTACAGAGCAGGTCGGTTTTCAAACAAGTTATTGGGCACACATGAATCAAGAATATGAAGTAAGAATATAGGTATTTCATTTGGAGAAATTCTTTTTCTTCTGAAATTTTGATAGTTCCTTAATATTTTAGAATAATGTTTTGTATTTTAATGTATTATGTTTTGTACTCCTCGGTGTACAAATACAAAATAATTTTACCAAAATGATAATGGTTCTCATGCCGCTCTTTTGCAAGGTTTTGAAATAATTATTTAGCCCTTTAAAACTGAAATTATCAATAGTAAAATCCATTCTTTCATCCATATGATCTATATCAGCATATTGTATATCCTGGAATTAAAAGAGCATTTGGCAATTAAAACAACAAATAGATGACCCTATGCCTACCGTAATAGTATAGCAGTTACGTTACGTGTTTTATCACACGCAATCACACGTTTGTAGTCGCACCCAGTAGAATCCAAACTGTTGCTTTAGTTCCGATTTAGATTTGATACATTTTGAACTTATGTTGTCTTTAGTATACAGATGACAGAAGGTGCAAAAGTTCAATAATTAGTGAGAAAATATTTCAATCAACACTAAGTTACAACATATAAAAAGTAGCTCACCAACGGTATATTGTGTTTCTTGGTATTTTCTACAGCAAGTTTTATATTGTCGATATGATTGTATCCATAACGGCATAGTTGAAATCCCAACGACCAATATGGAGGCATCACTGGACGACCTATTAACTAGAAAAAGGAATACTGCGAATATAATTCTTCAATATGTTTTTGCGGACTGACTGAATCTACTTTTCTCTTAACGTTCATCTCGAGGATAACAGATGATTTTTTCTCAATTTAAACTTTGGAATTCATACAAAGTTACTGTTTCATAAAATATATAAATTATGAATTGTCGTTTTTAGAACTTTTTGACTTACACTCGTATATTGTTGTATAACATTTTCTGGAGTTGGTCCCATAAAGACATAGAAATCTAAAATACCACCGATGGTTCTGTAAGTCAAACTGGGAAGATCGGTGAATGAGTACTCTGAAAATAAAAACCCGATGAGCTTTTTAAAGATTGGTAAACGCATGAACATGCAAATCTTTCTCCCCTGATGAATGAGTCGATACCGGACTGTTACCCGGAAATATCGGACTTTAATATGGAACTCTGTGTCTACCTAAGACTTGGATGTTGACAGGTTAATCAGAAGCATCATCTAGTTTTAATCTACCTTGAGCATTGCTGTTAAGTAAGAAAACGCCATGTGTATTTCCATTCTTGTCTTCAACACATTCATAGAAAGGATGAACACCATATAAGTTTGCATTGTCCTAAAAAAAGAAGAAAATAACCATTTTCTATTCGATTTTAGTGATGAACCAAGTACAAATGTTTCGTCACACACGATGTATAGCACGATACTGGTATATTACACGTCTAGGACGTACGGAAGATAAATTATGCAAAAAAATTATGTATCTATGATTGGCTGGGGTCAATTAAAAAAGCAATATACTACATGGAAAATTACTTACAACGTGCCCAGGCGCTTGATCCCGACTGAACATTGGCCATGTTTGTTTCATATCGTGTCTGAACGACTTATGTCTATTTTCACCAAAACCATAGATGTTTCGTGAGGGTAATATAGTACTAATTTGAAGAAATTGCTTGGAAAACACGAAACCTGCTAAAGACGTATTCCAACTGGAAAGAATAAAACCAAATACATTATCAGAATGCAACGAATAGATCTAAAACTTTAACTTGTGCATGATTTAAACTAAGGAAGATGCATTGGACTACTGATGCATTTGATTTGGAGCCGAAGGGAAAAAGCATTCAACGTGCCATTCTTTTCAGTTTTGCACAGTTTCCCATAATTTGACGAACTTTGCTGTAAGCACAATTCAAACTGTGAAGTAGAAGCACTGTTTCTGAAGTGCTGATCTTGATTTATCAGTGTTTCTCACCGAATGTGATCGTTAGTGTTAATCGCAAACTTACATGGCCGTCTCGGTGTCTTTTCGGACGACTGAGAAGGAAAACATCTCTTCGTTATCATGAACATCTACGCGGTATTTAGGGTTGTTAGCACCATTCTGTGGTAAGTTGAGGTCGAGTGGAACGTGGTATCTGTGGTTTCCACCATCAAACTATAGTGAAAAATAATAAAGTACAGAAATGAAACTACCAAGATTCAACGATGAGTGGCGTGTCTCCATCGATTATGTTCAGACCAAAACATGATGATGGAGACTGTGTTTCTCTGCATCCATGTAAAGTGTTTTCTCATTCAATTAACTACTTTATAATTAAGCGGTAATATTTTGATCATCAAGTCTGGAATCTTACCCTAAAGTGCAGGAGAGTATCAGTTACATAATCAACAATAAATTCGACCACTGCGATTTCCCCACCAAACGGAGCTTTACCGAACTGATGTAGATTTATGGCGAAACCATGTACATTATCTTCTCGATTCGATATTTTGTAACCAAAATTTTTCTCGGTGTGAAAACATTTTACATCATCACCTTCTGCATGATGATCATAGACACATCCACGCGATTCACACATTGATGCCGTCACTTCCACTTTACCACTTTCTGCTTCCGGTATGCAGTTCATCCTATGTCCAGAGTAAGTAGGTATTTCCGAATTATGTTCTTGGTCTGAGTTTACCACTGAGAGGTAAATTATAAGAGCTAAAAGAGCACAGAGACAGATGACCGCAATAACACAGATGATAACTCTTTTCGTGCTACAACATCCATGTTTTTTGGTGCCGCCGTTTTCTATCGTAAACACTTCTTTTGTCATTCTGGAGGCTGAAGAACTTTACATATCACTAAAACATAAAAAACATATTTGATTTTAACTCCACATTGAACAGGATTCATGGGATCCTGGATAGCATTATTTTGCATCAGAACCTAGTGACTACATGCATTCATATGTTCTTACAAATGTAAGAATGCACAGGAGAAGGGATGTCTTACTAACCACTAAAGCCATTTCTACTTAGAATTAGAATCCGGATTTGTAGAAATAAAATAAGTGGATATATGACACAAACAGTCTGCCCTGAAAGTAACGCGTACGCTCTGCAACATATACGGTAATGAATCATTTAGGACTACAAGTATTTGTAATGAATCAAAAAATCGATTGAAAATGACAATATGATGTATCAATGGATAAGTCACAATGTAGCATTAAATGCATAAGTAGGTAAGGTTTACTTACAATAGAAATACTTCCTGGTATAATAATGTGTATATATGTGAATGTGTTTGGTTGTGCTTGTTTAGTTATGTTTAATTATATATCAACTGGAGTGTAAGGAATTTACAGTACAATAAGTATACAGTCAAACTTCTATTAAGCATACGGTCAATGGAAATGCTCATGTTTGGTGGCTGTTTATTGAAGGGTGGTACAGATAACAAATTACCGTTAGTACAAGTTTGACTGTAATCTAAAATGCGACGAGCCATGAAAATAGAAAATATGTCCGATTTTGGAGAGTATCACAGTACTCAGAGTTTATTAATTTTTGTAGACTTTTCTTTACTTATCATCTTCGATTAACAATAAATATGATTTAAATGAAATGGAATTTTGAACATGATTGTGCATGACAGGCGACACCGACACCTTTTCCTTGTCAGCCCGTCCGACCTGCATTATCAAGATATCATTACCAAGCTATATAATATGGCCTTACTTAGTTGTTAACGCACAATACCGACCGGTATACTTGTTTGGTTTGCAGTTTCTCAATGAAATATGTTCTTTTTTAGTTTTGTTTGCTTATATACTTTGTTGTTGTTTCTTCGAGTTTAATATCCGTTAATTATGTGACCGTTTGATGTTTTTCATAAGCAGGGTCAAGAGACACAAGTACTTGACATGTTTGGAGATTTATAGCTCGTTCAGACCAGAAAGCCTACATGTATTTATAATACTGTTATGCGTCTTGTAAATTAACCTTATCTTAACAACAAATACGTCGTGCAAGATGAGATGCAATCGTCCAACGCGACTATTGAGTAGTGCGAAGTTTGGACGCTTTCAATGTTTCAATGACAACCTTACAACATGACAATGTCTACCTACATACATCGGTCGTTTGAAATCGAATTGACATTGATGTTTAAATGTCAAATACGATCTGTTACATCGGTCGTTCAATATACCAAAAACTGTTGAAGACACTTTTGTTGAAGTTTCAAGTTTTGCACATTTTGCCAAAATGTCCCTTTTCTAACACAGTGGCACTACCATCTGTATAATATAAATTTCTTACCTACAAAAAGTATGCGCTCATTTCCCTCTTTTGAAGCTCTTCAAAATGAATTACACCCCCTTATTCATGTACTAGACTATTCTATAGGGTTTATATAATCCATTATAAAGGGGTTTTGTTGACGATTGATATTACTATACAGCTTGATATTCATATCATGTCGCTTTTTAGTATCCTTTAAACAAGCAAACTATGTCAGTCCGCTTTTGTGCACTTTTTAACAGCAGATATACACGCTTATTACAATTTCAACCTATTAGTCAATTATGTATTAGGCAAGTCGGTCATCCTTAACAATATATCAACAATATGAAGACGGGATATTCGATCCATAGTATGAAACCTCGTAACATATATGCTAACACACTGCATTAGAAGAATGCTGAATTTTCAACGACGCATTCAAAAAGTCGAAATATATCAATAAGATCTCGAAACCGATAACAAGTGAAAATTGAGATTTTGATATGTTATTGAGTCTAAGGAATTGTTAACCTGTATGTAGAGTTCGAAAAATTATCAAATTACATAATATATGATTATATATTGATATTGATATAAACTGATACTATGCCTATTTATTCAATATCTAATGACAAACATTTTTATGTTAACATCTTATATTTCGTCTGGTATTGTTTGGAGTCTACTATTTTGTTTGATCAGCAAGTAAATTTACATTTCTACTGTCTTAACAATATTCTTATTGAGAATCCATGAGAGGCTGTTACCTCACTTGACATTAATAGGCGCTTTTCTTGTATGAAGGAAGTTTGATAGAGTGAAACGGGAAGTTTTAATTTAGTTTACAGTTCTGAAATAGTTTCACATTGTAGATTAGTCGTTGTCAAACAAAGAAGGCCAATGGTGGCCAAATAGTATAGTATCAGTTAAAGGGTTCGTATAATATATAAAAACCCCGTTACACTTTGACGATTAAGCAAGTGTATACCTAACGTATGAAAATACACTGTTGTAGTCGAAACATTATGAGTAAGGCCGTGGTACCACATTCGCATGTCAAGACAAGTTTAGTATCCGTCAGTTCAGTTGAATGCGTAACGTAATCGAATATAGAACTTATCGGATT